TCTCAGATGGGTCCGTATCCGTGCCCAGAAGTTGGGTATGCCATATGAAGTTGTCCGACCTATCATTGTTGAAATTGCTAACGAAGAAGGGGTTCTTCCAACCATCCTCCATCCTCATATGCCCACTGACATTGGGGCACTGAAGAGATCTTGGATGCAACTGAGGGAAGAACGAGATTCTTACCGAGAGAAGTTCAATGAGCAAGAGCAGAAGGTCCAGAGGTTGACTAGGAAGTTGGAGAACAAGCGGATTCTCAACGACTATGTCCGCACTGATAAGAAGAGACCATGGGAGCATTGATTGACCCTTGATTGTTTCTTTTCCAGTTTTCATTTACTTTTCAGTATTTCCATTCTTGTAACGCCCTGAGGGCATCAGTTGAATAATTTGAATTTTGAAGTTTATCTAATAAAGTGTGTTTCCTTTCTTGTTTACAAATTTGAATCTCCCGATTGTCTTTAAAATCATAAATCATACGCATTTCATCCCATGCACTCCATAACAGGTACCCATTACAGGTCTCTTATCTTCTTCGCTGTTTATTTCAGCACTCATCATGTCTGCCGAACCTTCAACTGAGCAAGCTATCAAGGCCCTCCAGGCCCAGAATGCCCAATTTCAAGAGTTGTTCATGAATCTAGCTAAGGGTCAGCAAGACCTGAAGACCCTGATTCTGAAAGAGAAGAAGAAGAAGAAGAAGAAGAAGAAGAGGACAATCCTGTTCAACACGGGGCACAGGTTTGGAAACAGGCTACATAATGAAGTTAATCTGACCACCTCATCTGGAGGGAAAGATAATCAAGAGGAAAGGAGGGCTCCTAGCCCCGTGGTCTCCGACAACGAGAGGGACTTCGATGAAGAACAATATCCTCCTGCTGAGGATAGATACAAGCAACTGGAAGACCGGTTGAGTGCTATGGAAGTTCAGAAAGTGCCTGATCTGGACTTTGGTGATCTAGGTCTATCATTTGGGGTGGTGATTCCCCACAAATTCAAGGCACCAGCTTTTGCTAAGTATGATGGAGTTTCTTGTCCGAAGATGCACCTCCGCTCATATGTGAGGAAGATTCAACCGTATACCGCTGATAAGAACCTATGGATCCATTTCTTTCAAGATATTCTCTCAGGGACTCAGCTTGAGTGGTTCTACCAGTTAGACGGAGCCAGTATCCGTAGTTGGTAAGATTTGGCTACTGCATTCTATAGGCAGTATCAGTACAACTCCGACCTTGCTCCCACACGTACCCAACTCCAGGGTATGTTAATGGGAACGGGCGAAGGATTCAAAGATTATGCTCAGAAGTGGAGATACCTCGCCGGAAGAGTACAACCACCCTTGGCTGATCGGGAGCTAGTTGACATGTTTCTGGGGACCCTGTCTGGTCCATTTTTCAACCACTTGATTGGAAGCTCTTCATCTGGGTTTACAGATCTTATTTTGACCGGTGAGAGGATTGAGGCTGGTATTAAGGCTGGTAAGATACAGAAGGGTGCCTCATCAAGCACCGAGAAGAAGCCATTTAAGAAATAGTCCAGTGCGGTATACAGTTCGAGAAGACAGAATAGACCTGAACACCGCCAACCTGTTAATGCGGTTGTTATTTCAAAACCTGCTGGTGCTCCGCAGTACAACAATCAACAGAAGGATGAGAGACCTCGAAGGCAATTCACCTGTCTCAGCATGACTTTGTCTCAGATTCTGCCACAGCTGCTGAAGACCAATCTGTTGATTCTAAAGGAAGCCCCAAAGAATCCAAATACAACGTCTCCGAGGTATAACCCTAATGCCCCCTGTGCTTATCACTCTGATAGCCCGGGGCATAATACATATGATTGTTGGGCTTTGAAGAATAAGATACATGACTTAATTGATGCGAAGGGGATTGAGTTCGAGGCGCCCGAGAGGCCTAATGTTGTGACTACTCCTATGCCCAAGCATGGAGTAAACTCTATAGATGAAGACTCGTTTGTGGTTTCTGTAAATGTTATTGCTACCCCTTTGATGACTGTAAAGAAGAACCTTTTGCTAGTCGGTTTATTTCCGGGCTGTGGCGAAGGTTGCCGTATGTGTTCCGTTCTACCTACCGGTTGCCATCTCTTGAAGTCAGGTGTCCAACGCCTGATGGATAGTAAAGAAATTCTGTTCGAGAAGACTGTTGTTCCTCTAGTTCATACTGAAGAAGTTGCCATCATTACCATTTTCGACAATTCTTCCAAGGCTCCCTCGAGGAAGCCTGTTAGAGTTACATCTGTTCCGAGAATCGCACCTGTGATCATCACTGTTCCGGGGCCCATCCCCTACACCTCTGATAAAGTTGTACCTTGGCACTATGGGGCTGATGTTTATTTTCATGGAGTTAAGCAAGAGTTGGATGCTGATACTGACGTCAGCAATATTGTTGGACCTGCTAAAGTCACCCGCAGTGGAAGACTTTTCTCGCCTGATATCTCTCCACCCACTGCCCAAAGACCTGTCGTTATTACACCTTCCAGTGTACCTGCTACCATTTCGGTTCAAGTTCCCATTCTTACCCCTGTCGCCGAGTCATCTGACACTTGGGGCAAAGGGATCACCACTGATGTGCCTTCCCAGATGGAGGCACCGAAGACGATTACTGTTGAAGCTTCTAAGCAAGAGATGGAAGAGATCCTGAAGATCATCAAAAAGAGTGACTACAACGTAGTTGAGCAGCTGGGGAAAACCCCATCCAATATATCTATGTTGTCACTGTTGTTATGTTCATAGGCCCATGCCAAGGCTCTGATTACATTTATGAAAACCGCTCACGTACCACAAGAGACATCAGCTGATCAGTTTACAGATTGCGTGGCTAATTTAACTGCTGATAACAGGTTGGGTTTCTCGGACGCCGACTTGACTGCTAAAGGGAAGAACCACAATGATGCCCTGCATGTCTCCATTGAATGCAGGGGCACTACTCTTTCTCATGTATTGGTAGATACTGGTTCCTCATTGAACGTCTTGCCAAAGAAAGCTCTAGACCGGTTGGATTGTGAAGGGTTGGAGCTGAAGCCAAGCAACATCGTCGTCAGGGCCTTTGATGGGTCCAAGAGAATGGTGCATGGAGAGGTTGATATCCCGATCAAGGTTGGTTCCCAGGTATTCAACTCTACATTCTATGTGATGGACATTCGTCCATCTTATTCTTGTTTGCTGGGTCATCCATGGATCCACAAAGTCGGGGCCGTAACCTCAATGCTCCACCAGAAGCTGAAGTACCTGGTCAAAGGGAAGATTGTGACAGTACAAGGAGAGGAAGAATACATGGTTAGCCACCTCAACTCTTTCTGATATGTTAAGATGGATGGGGAGTTCATTGAGACCTTATTCCAGCATTTTGAAGAAGTTCCCCAGACACTGGCGTCAACTGAGGCTTTTGTTGAAGACTCTCCTATGAAGATGGCTTCCTTTAAGGATGCCCGGGCTGTTGTCGAGAAAGGTGGGTGTGAAAAATGGGGCCGACTCCCTGATTTTACACAGAAGAATAACAAGTTTGGTTTGGGTTTCACTGCAGAAGCTCAAAGGGCTGTTCGGAATGCACGAATCGGAAGACCTCCCGTGTTCATCAGCAACTCGGAAGTGAATGCCATTGAAGACGATGTAGAAGAGTCTGAATTCGACAGCTGGATCCACTACACCAAATTTGTCTTTTAGCATCACCCCTACTAAAGCGCTTTTTGTAAAAAGCGCTGGTATAGGTTGCGCTAAAACAAAATAAAAAAACACGCTAAAAAAGCGCTCTTAAAGGGGGGGGGTTACAAAAGCGCTTTCAGAAAGCGCTCTTAGAGGCTGGGGTACGAAGGCGCATTTGAAAAGCGCTCTTATAGTGGGGGGGTATGAAAGCGCTTTCTGAAAGCGCTCTTATAGGGGGCTTATGAAAGCGCTTTCAAAAGCGCTGATATAGGGGGTGGGGTACAAGAGCGCTTTTATCCTCAAAAGCGCTGGTATAGCCTTAGTTACGAAAGCGCTTTTCAAAAGCGCTGTCATACCCTCTTTACAATTAAAATTTTTTAAAACAAGAAATCGTTCATTCTCACAAAATCTTGCATTCTCAGAAAACTCTTGCATTCTCAGAAAACTCACAAAATCGTTTCAAAATCTTGCATTCTCAGAAAACTCACAAAATCGTTTCCAAATCCCTAATCGTTGAAAACTCACATCGTTTCAATCGTTCTCCGTTCTCAATCGTCTTCTTCGAAAGAAAAAAAGCTTGGAATACTTAAGGATCAAGAGCTTGCTTCATCAATTCGTCTCCAATATTTCATCATCATCTTCTTCCTAGAGGTGAGTTCATAGTTAAATTTTAGCTTTGAGAGAAAAATCCATGGTTGGGAAGTTAGGGTTTGTGTTGTTGTTGTTATGAACATGAAACTTGATGACGATACATGCTTACTTGTGTGATTTCATGTTGAATGTGTTGTGGTGTTGGTATTATAATTATTTTGGATTATGTTGGAATCATGAGATATGTTTGATTGTTGTTGATTCTTGAGAGTTTACATGTGGATTTCACTAATGTTAGAATATGGTTAGCATGTTATGGATTATCGAGTTAACAAGTTGAATTCTTCTCATCATAGATAAGATGTTTCCTTTTCATGTGATTAATTTGGTTTAGGCCTTATCTGCTATTGGATGTAAATATTGAACTCTTGACTTACCCTTGAATATTGGTACTCCAAAGCAATCGAAGTTTGTGTGACTTGTGTTGAAACCAAAGATGCATGCAACTTGTGGATAGCCTAAAAACCAAGGATACCTTGCATTTTGTGGGACTAGGGCGATGGCATGAATTTTAAGCATATTCATGTAATAATTTGTGGATAGGATATGCATCACTTTTGGTAGCTTTACAAAATATCTGAGATCATCTACAAAGAAAGTGTGACTTGGAAACTTAGTTTTGTCATGAGCGATACATGTAATATGTCTTTGTTCAATCATGTTTGCAAATTGTCTTCTTAAGCATCTTCAACAATGCAAAATAGTAAAATAGAAATGGAATTTCCTTGTCTTATTCCTCTAGAACAGTTGAAAAAGCTTGTTGCCTTGTCATTAACTAAATTGATAATTTGGTTGAATGAAGTATTGTTGTAATTCAATTGCAAAATATAATATTAAAGCCAAAGTTCTTAAGCATATAGAATAAATAACTCCATTTTGAGTATTGGTAATGAATTGGTTATGTGTGTTTTTGAATCATATTATGAATTGTTGTTTGTGTTTATTGAATGATAATTGAGCAAAAACTATGATGAAAAGTGAAGTTAAATCTAGATTTGTACTAAGTGAATGACTTAGAAAGATAACTTAGGTAATGAAAATGATTTAGGTAGTGTGGCTTGGACGCAATGATACCTCGGTGTGTATCACAGACAAGTATTCGCTTGATTTTAAGAATAGTTGAGCATATTTTAAAGTTGTTGTGTTCTCTTGACAGTTGTTTTAAGATAAGTTGTCGACTAGACAAAACTTACTAAGGCGCAAAATCCTCTAAGATTATAGTTTTGGAGGGTTTTCAACGTGCAGTGGGCAAGAGAAGTCAACAAAAAGGTAGTTTAGGATTTTTACGTTTCCATTAAATCTTGCTTAGAGAAGCTATTTGATCATTTTCCATATCTGGGTTGTAGCAATGGAAGCTCATAATTCTTAATAAGTTATTTTCTTGTTATACTTGCAGCTGACTCAAGCTGATGTGAAACACTTCTTTGAGTCTATCTGTGGAGAGGTTTGTAGTTTTTTTTTTGTGTGGAATCAAGCTTATAATGCTTATTGTTGTTTGAATATTTAGTATCTAGCGAGATATTTTCCTTTGAAGCACGGTCACAGACCCTAGACACAACACCGACACTGATGCATCGACACCGGTAATAATTTAAAAAAGTGAATGAATTGGATGTAATCACGTGTGTCGGTGTTGGTGTCGTGTCGGACACCTGACACGCCTCTGTTCAGAGGTGTCGGTGCTACAGGGATATTTTCCATAAAATCAGTGTGTTCCATGGTTTCAATCTTGAGTTTTTTGTTGAGGCAAAGTTGCGTCAGCTTGAGTTTTTTTGTTGCGAGTTGAATTTAACTATCCTGTAAAATCTTTTTCATTATTGTGGTGTATTATCTAGGTTCAACGACTGAGGCTTCTTGGGGATTACCATCATTCAACTCGGATTGCTTTTGTTGAGTTCACAGTGGTAATTATTACTCACGAGCTTTACAACCTTCTTATCTTTGTTTAAACAACTCTGGTTTGCTTAGCTAATTTAATTTAAACATCCTCTATTGCTTTATGAAGTTATAGCCCTCAGATTGAGTGCTACTACTTGGTTTGTACTCTCTAGTTATTGTTCGCATTAAATGCAGTCACCCCTCCCTCCCTAAACAACTTCGTTCTGTTTGTTCTTCTGTCAGTAATCATGTTTCTTAGTAATAGTAACTCCACATTGTCTATATAAACAACTTATTACGAGCTTATATAAAGTTTTCCATTACTCACTCTTTGATTGTAGAAACTGCTTAAACAGAAGCTCACATACAACATGCTTAACTAAGTTTTTTATCACGAATGCCCTCATAGTCATTAGTCATCCATGCCTGGGCTTCCCTAGTTTGAATTAGCGGAGTTATTAATTATAAGTTCATTTGGCTTTTGTTTTGAGCATGCAGATTTCAATTTAGTCGAACTTTTGAAAATTAATTTCACCGTGCAAATTATTTTCTCTGAAGATTTGTACTGTAAATCCCCTCTAAGCTGTTTATTTCTTTGACATTTGCTTTTAAGATTATATATCGTGGCTGTATGTTAGCAAAAGCAGCTGTCTCAATATTTCTTTTCTCTACTGTTTGTTTTCCCCTGCGTTGTTTCTTTATTGGCTGTCTGAAGATTTTCTTGCCTCATTCTTTCAGGCTGACAGTGCAATTGCCGCCCTAAGCTGCAGTGGCGTGATTTTGGGTGCTCTGCCTATAAGGTTAGCTTGATTTTGGGTGCTCTGCCTATAAGGTTAGCTTGATATATCTTTCTGAAGTTTAGGAAACATACCTCTTTAGACTTGATTTCGATATGATATTTTGTAGTCTGAATTATTTAGAAAATATGAAACAAAGTTATTTTTATAGGGAAACATTGACGGTTAATTAGTGGATGTTGATGATAATTAGCTTGACATGGAAATACATTCAAGGCCATGTGTCGGATTTGGTCATTTCTCTGATTGAATGGATCAGTAGACCTTCTTACTGACACTATAGAAGGTACGGTTTCTTTTGAAGTTTTCTTTGCAACTCATTTGTCGATGTATTCTATTTTGATTTTGAATTTCATTTCATCTTTCAGGGGGAAGGAAACCTTCAGTTGCTGCTATTGATGGTCTTGCCCTGGGTGGAGGGTTAGAGCTTGCGTGGTTTTGAGAATAAAGTTTTGGTATTGCTTCTCAATCGTCTTCCATCTTTGCTGCTGCTTTTTGCTGTTTTGCTATTTGAATTGAATCTACTCACATCTTCGTCTAAGGTGATTTTCATTATTTTATTATTATGCCTTACAGTGTAGCTTTTTTGGTGAATATCATTATATTATATATCTTTTTTTGAATTTCTTTTCAATATGCTTGAAATAGATAGATCAATCAATGTCTCTAATATTGCTCTTTAGATATTGTTTAACATCCAGCATATGGCTTAGTAGTAGTAAGCTTAGATGCTGAGTTTGTATAGTTAAGAGTGTGAATCTGCTGAAATTAAATGCTGAGTTTGTATAGTGAAGTGAAAATATGGATTAAGGGATAAAATGTGTATAATTGATATTGATATAACTGTAATCATAGTAATCACTAATTACATCCTAACCCCCCAAAAACTTTCTATCATTGTTATTTTTACTTTATATTTTTTTATGTTCAAAACATTTTTCAAACAAAGCTCTTGTTTGCTTAGAATAGTAATTATTACATATAAATTATATTATCATCTTTCCTCGTGGACTCATAATTTTAGTCATTGTATTTTGATATTTGTTGACACATCTACTACACATACAATAAAAATTTTAAACAAGACTATCAAAAATTAAGTTCAAACTTAAAACATCTTTTTATTTAAAAGAGATTTCTTACAATTTTAATTTCATATATTTATCTATCGTTAAGTGAGGTACTTACTAACTTTGTGAATTGAATTCGCCATAGGGGTTACTTGTGAAGAGTGAAAGTTTGACCGTTTTTGTTTAGCTTAATTAAGACATGGATAAGACATGGATGAATTCAAACCGATTGTCGAAAGAGTACGAGAAAGGGGTATGGGAATTTGTTGAGTTTGCGGTTGCGCACTCCAAAGACCCGCTTTGAATGCCGTGTCCTTGCTTGGGTTGCTGTTATGCCGGGGGTAAGGTTGACGGGAATCAGTTGGGATCTCATTTACTACGGTTTGGAATTGATAGAAGTTATACATGTTGGACAATGCATGGTGAGAAAAGTACCGGGAATGCTGAGTCGAGTTGTAATAGGAAGTATGCTTCAAACGACGATTGCACAGACACATACGATTGTGATCGAGTCGAAGAGATTGCAGAAGCGCTTGAAGAAGATCTTGCGGATTGTCCCAAAATGTTTGAGAGGTTGGTAAGCGATGCAGAGAAACCGTTGTATGTTGGTTGTTCAAAATTCACAAGATTGTCTGCGGTGTTAAAGTTGTACAACTTAAAGGCGGACAATGGATGGTCGGATAAAAGTTTCACAGAGTTATTAGCCCTTATGAAAGATATGCTACCAGAGGATAATGTTCTTCCCAATCGAACGTATGAAGCCAAAAAAATGTTGTCTTCTATTGGAATGAGCTATGATAAGATACATGCATGTCCAAACGATTGCGTTTTGTTTCGAAACGAGTATGCAGCGTTGAATGAGTGTCCTAAATGTGGTGCCCCTCGATATAAGAAAAAGTTGTCTCCTGCTAAAGTCTTATGGTATTTTCCTATAATTCCGAGATTTAGACGCATGTATCGTAGTGAGACCGATTCAAGACACTTGACTTGGCATGCAGATGAAAGAATTATTGATGGAAAGTTGCGACATCCGGCAGACTCACCACAATGGAGTAAAGTTGATACTGAATATCCTGAATTTGGAAAAGAAGCAAGAAACCTTCGGTTGTCATTGTCTACTGATGGAATGAACCCGCATGGTATTCAAAGTATCTCGCATAGCACATGGCCTGTGATTCTTATGATTTATAACTTACCTCCGTGGCTATGTATGAAGCGTAAGTACATGATGTTATCTATGCTAATTTCTGGGCCTAAACAACCAGGGAATGACATAGACGTATACTTGGCACCTTTAATCGAAGATTTAAAGTTTTTGTGGGAGAGAGGTGTGGAGGTTTACGATGGGTATAGGAAAGAAAGTTTCAACTTGAGGGCGATGTTGTTTGGAACAATTAATGATTTTCCAGCATACGGAAATCTATCCGGGTACAGCAACAAGGGTCAAAAGGCGTGTCCTGTTTGTGAAGATGAAACCGATACGACACGATTGGCGCTTTGTCAGAAGAATGTCTTTCTCGGCCATCGTAGATTCTTAAATTCTAATCATCACTACCGTGGGTGGAGAAAAGCATTCAATGGAGAGGCCGAACATCGTACATCCCCGCCTTTTTTGTCAGGTGATCAAATTTTTGAAAAGGTGAAAGATGTGAGCACTCAGTTTGGCAAGCCTTTTGCACATTCAATTGTCAAGGGTGGGTGGAAGAAGAAGTCAATTTTCTTTGAACTTCCATATTGGAAGTCGTTGTACGTAAGACATTTCCTGGATGTTATGCATATTGAAAAAAATGTATTTGACAGCGTTATAGGTACGCTACTCAATATACAAGGAAAGTCTAAGGATGGCGTTAACATAAGGAATGACATGGTAAACATGGGGATGAGAACTGAATTGGGGCCCGTGACGAAAGGAAGACGAACATATCTGCCACCTGCTGTTTACACTCTATCTAGAAAGGAGAAGAAAACATTGTGTAAGTTCCTCAGTGAAGTAAAAGTTCCAGAAGGCTACTCTTCAGATATTAGAAGACTTGTGTCCATGAAAGACCTCAAGTTAAAGAGTTTGAAGACGCATGATTGCCATGTTATAATGGAACATTTTTTACCAATAGGTATACGTTCTATTCTTCCAGAAAAAGTAAGAAGCGCAATAACTAAGCTGTGTTTCTTCTTCAGGTCTATTTGCAGTAAGGTGGTCGATCCCGCGATCTTACCAACATTGCAAAATGAGATAGTTGTTACTTTATGTGATCTTGAAATGTATTTTCCTCCCTCGTTTTTTGACATAATGGTTCATCTAGTCGTTCATCTTGTGAAAGAGACACAACTGTGCGGACCAGCTTATATGAGATGGATGTACCCTGCTGAACGTTATATGAAAATATTAAAAGGGTACGTGAAAAACAGAAGTCGACCAGAGGGTTGTATTGCCGAGCGATACGTTGCTGAAGAAGCGGTTGAGTTTTGTACTGAATATCTGTCAAATGTTCAATCAATTGGACTCCCCAAATCTCATATTGTCGAAAAAAAAGAAGGAAAAAGGCTAATTGGAAATAAAGTTGTGACAGTATCAATGGTCGAACGGGATCAAGTGCACTTGTATGTTCTGCACAATGAGATTGAGGTTGAGCCGTTTGTTGAAATGCACAAAGTTGTTCTCCGAGATTTAAATCCAAATAGAAATGAGAACTGGATAGTACGAGAGCACAATCGAAGTTTCATACCGTGGTTTAGAGATCATATTTATTCAAAGTATCGTTCAGATCCTGCTTCAGTAACAGAAAGGTTGAGATGTTTAGCATATGGTCCATCTGTAATTGTGCTTTCTTATAGCGCATACGCAATTAATGGATACACATTTTATACCAAAGAACAGGATGATAAAAGTACTATGCAAAATAGTGGTGTTACCTTGGTAGCTGAAGCTATGCACATATCAAGTGCGAATGACTTAAATCCGAAATTTTCAAATTTGTCATATTTTGGGGTTATCGAGCGCATTTTGGTGTTTGATTACGCGAAGTTTCAGATTCCTGTATTTGGTTGCAAGTGGGTTGAAAATAATAGTGGCGTACGAATGGATAAGTCAGGATTTTTGCAAGTGGATCTCAATAGGGTAGGGTACAAAGATGAGCCTTTCATTCTAGCCTCTCAAGCTAAACAAGTGTTCTATGTCAATGATCCGACAAGTACGAAATGGTCTATAGTGCTTTTATCTAACAAAATAGTTGATGAAAAAATTGAAGATCAAGGTGATATTGGTGTTGGCATTGAATCTTGTACAAGAAACGATCAAAATGAGAATGAATCTTGTATTAGAAATGATCATAATGAGGGTATTTGGATCAATCCAACCGTCCGCATTGTTAAGAGACGCGTAGTACACAATCCTACCAAGAAAAGAAAGAGACGTTAGTGATAAAGTAATGGTCTCGATAACCTTCACTCGCTTATGTTTAGTAATGGTCTCATTTTTATATTTTTTAATTATTATATTTAGTAATCTGGCATCGAATATGTGAAAATCTTACAATTTGTACTTTAAAACAATTTGACTAAAAATTAAGATTTATTAAATGAACATGCTTTTAATATTGATAGAGTATGCATCCCCTCATCTTTGCCTAAAAGAAATATCATGAAAAAGTAATATTGATTGTATCACATGCTTTTATTTTATTAATATCTTCACGTTGAACAATTAATAATGGATTGATTTTTTTTCTTCTTATAATAACTTCTATGTTGTAATTTTTTGAAATGTTTCTCATATAAAGTTAGTGTTAATAGTGTACTAATGTGCTTTAGTTTGTTTGATACAGGTTCAATGGCTCCAGATAGAGATGCTCCACCTGAAAACCCACCTGAAAACTCACAAGAAAACTCACAAGAAAGAGTTGCTTCGGATACAAATGCTCCACCTGATACTGAAGCAAAAGAGGTTGCACGAGGCATCACTATTATGAAGGGAATCATTCGACATAGAGACCAAGGATTAGTATACCGATTGGAATGGAATTCTGATAAACAACCAATTGGTCCTAATTCTGCAAAGTTGACAAGTTATATTGGTACACTTGTCCGTATGCATATTCCGGTCTCCGTAGCTACCTGGAAATCGAAAACGAAAAATTTAGAATTGGAGGAGAAAAAACAAGCGATTTGGGAAGAGCTTCAGGTATATATCATATATGGTTAATTGTTGTTATTATCTTGACGATAAATTGTTTAAATTACTTATACTAACACACTATGCGTACGTTTTTTTGCAGAGGACTTTTGAGATACCAGATGAACGTAAAAGCTACATACTTAGTTTGGCCGGCAAAAGATATAGAGGGTGGAAAAGTTTTTTGACAAACACCTATCTTAA